TCAAACTTGCAACAATGTTAGAGGAGCCTACCAAATGAACACCTAAAGCCGTTCCCGAAAATGGGGCTCAGTAGCCGAGTAATGAACATTTAAAAATATAGGAAAAATTCTGTAAACATTCTAATATCTCGGAAAGTATGTATTTTTGAGAAAAATTTCTTAGACAAAAATGGTAGGGTTTAATAAGATTTTTCTGTGGTTTTATTTGTTTGATCTTGGTTGACTTCGTTAAGGTCAAGTCAAGGTTGACAATGCCTCCCAAGGTCAAACCAATAACCAGTAACTGTAATGAAATAGAAAGAGATAGAACTAGGCTGGTTAAGTTAACTGAGCTTGGTGAAAGTGGCCCTAAGATATTTTTCTCAAAAATGTATGCTTTATCCGAGATATCATACTGTTTTCAGTTCTTTTGTTATATTTTTAAATGCTCATTACTCGGCTACTAAGCTCCATTAGAGGGAACGGCTTTACAAATGTTCATTTGGTACGCTCCTCTAACATTGCTGCAAGTTTGATCAAAATCATTGAAGAGCAGAGCGTAGTCTCTCCTTGTAAGATTGTTGTAATTCTAGCTAATTATTTTTTAAACATCATAGTAATTTGAAAAAATTAGCAAACAATAAAAATGTCATCTTCCATCTTTTTTCTCATACATAGTATTATTATCCTAAATAAACTTATTAATAAATATATAAATTCTTTCTGGAAATTCAAAATTATTAAAAATTTTAATTAAAAAATATTTTGCAGAAAGAAAAGAAAATGAAGATGAATACAGACAGCGAAGATACGAACTTTTTTGAACAAAATATGAAAATTTAACTAATTAATTTTAAATATAATTTAGGTTAATATATCACATTTAATTATATTTATATTAATCTAATTATAATTTGTAGAATAATTACATTATCTTATTAAAAAAAAATATGTTAAAGTATTTTAAATTTTAAATTTTAAATAAATTCATAATTATATTTAATATATCATTTGTTTAAAATTTGTTTAAAACTTAATATTTTTGTATTATTATTTATCTTATCTTTTTTTTGAGTTTCTTTTTTTATTTGTTGTAAGGTTATTGAATTATTTTTATTAAATAATTTTAATATATTATTTAATTTAATTTCAATGTTTAAAATAATAATTTAATATTATTTAAAAATATTTTATGTATTTTAAAATATAAAAAGTAATTTCAATTCTAATTGCTTCAATTATGATATTTTTAAGATTAATTTGAGTATGTGTGTAATCCATTTGAAAAATATTCGTAAATATTTAACTATTTTTTTTAATTCTTGTATTTAACTATTCTTATGAATATTTGGGAATTGATGTATATTAAACTTTAAGATATGATATTTATTTTAAATTCTTTACATATTAATTACATATTTTTAACATTCGATTCAACCACATTTAAGTTGAATATATATATATATATATATATATTATAACAACTATTCACCAATTAATGCAGCATTGTTTCGATTCATTAATAGATAATTGGAGGGCATATACATTCTAAAATAATATCAGACAGTAGAATGACGAGTATAAATTGTATTTTAATAATATTAACGGAAGAAATAACTATACGAACTTGATGTTGAAGGAGTGATGTATTGGCTTACGTAATTGATTTGGAGATTGAATGATTCTAATTATTATTCGAGATAGTTTCTGTGACACCAAAAGAAATATTTATTAACATTCTTGAGGCTTCCACGGGTGCTTTCTGTATAAAGGTTATGCGTTTCGCGAGTTTCCTCCGTGTCCAGATCCATTCTTGAGATGCCAACGTTTCTTTGACACACAACCAGACGAAAGGATCCTAACCATCCTCCCATATATCAAAGGAACAACAGATCGGAGATTGGCGGGATATTAAACAAACACAATATCCGAAATATCTTCAAACCACCAAAAAGATAGGACAAATCTTAAGAAATTCTAAAGATCAAAGACCTCCACTCAGTTCCGCAGGAGTATACAAAATACCTTGTTTCTGCGGGAAAGTATACATTGGAGAAACCGGGAGAATGGTCAACCTACGGATCAAAAAACACCAACGTGATGTCAGACTAAAATACACCACGCAGTCGGCATTATCAGAACACAACATCGAAACAGAACATCAAATACTGTTTGACAAAACGACCACAATAGTCAACAGTACATCATCCTTTCCAAGAAAGTACAGAGAAGCCATAGAGATACAAAAACACCCTAACAATTTAAATAGAGATAATGGCTACAACATAAATAAAATATGGAAGACCATTCTCCCGGTTATTAAAGACCGACCAATTCCACCACCTCTTATCCCTCCCACAACCCCTTCCCCCTCTCCGCCCAACCCTACCACGCCAACAAGCAGCGTAATATAAAAAGGAACGGCCCGAAGGAACAGCTCAGTATCAGGCGGGTGGCACTCGGTTGGACACGGCTCAATTGGACACGAGCCACTCATAGCGCTTGAGACTACAAAGCTCCTAAGAACCGATCGCTGTGATTGGTGGTGTCCAATCGAGCTGTAGTCAATCGGGATCACCCCGTATCAGGTTGCCCCTTGCCCTGATGAAGTGGACTGCAAGGTTCACGAAACGTTGGCATCTCAAGAATGGATCTGGACACGGAGGAAACCCGCGAAACGCATAACCTTTATACAGAAATATTTATTGTTCTCTATTGCATTTTATATTGTTATTAATAATTTAGCTATATACAGGGTGTTTGGCGACTACCGCATTTTTTG